CACCACCATCACCATCTCTAAAAAGTACCTAATATTTATTGAGTCTTTGCCTTATGCTGCCAACTATATTTTTAGGAGCCTTGCACAGTAAATCTTTTGCATTTTCATTTAATTATTGAAAAAATTCTTGTGAGACAACTATTATTATTAACTCAGCTTTACAAATGAGCAAACTGAGTCTTTAAAAGGGGGAAGCAATTTCCCAAAATCCAAGTAGTCAAAGCTGTCAATCCATATCCGGCTGACTCTAAATGCCCTGCTGTTATCCATCACGCCATGCCGGGCGTGCTGGTAATGAGAGCTTTCTTTTAGTTTTAGAACACTTACGCAGGACCAGAAAGCCTTGCTCCTAATCACACCTGATGAAGTAAGTGCTTTTATTACACATACTTAACAAACAGGACAACGGGGCATTGCAGCTCAGCCACTGTCACATTCCTCATAAAATTACATGCAGAATTCAAGATTTTATTCCTCACTTGGTGTTCCTTGGAAAGATGAACTTTGAAAGAGGATGGGAATGAAAATGGTCCTATGTCTTGGCTAGAAGGCCAGTATGTGTACATGTGTGTAGCAGATAACTTCGTGTGTGCTATGACTTGGTTCTACCTACCCCTCTGCAGGCCTGGCTTTACATGACCATGTAGGCACACACAGAAGTACTGTGATGAATAGGGGTACTTTTTATCAAAGCTTGGTACAATGGGGATGAAGAACTCTGTTGGCTTGACATGGGAGTTCTAGGCTTCCCCAGGCAATACTGTATAGGATGATCACAAAAGAAGCTCTGGGATTACCCACTCATGTGTGGGAAAAGGGGGAGCAGGTTGTCCCATGCCATCCTGTCAACAGATGACAGGTTACAGTTCTGCTCTGGGATGAAACCAGGAGTAAATGGACAGAACAAATCTGGGTACCCTCTCATCTCCTTTCCTGGCCCCTGGGCTCACCATCTACCTTTGTCTCCAGCTGCCAGGGTCTTTCACCACCCTCTAACTATTGATAAATTCCTCACTGTCTTCATCATGTTCTTATACAGAAGTATCCCATAATTATGACAACTCTTTCTATCAAATTAAGATAAGTGGCCTGTGGAAAAAACTGCTTTCTGATTCACAAGTTTAAATATAAGAAATGCCCTGTTTAATTTTTAAAAATGAATATATATCGAGTTACGTTTACATTGTTTTTGGCAGGGGCGGGAGAGATGGCTGCTCTTCCAGAGGTCCTGAATTCAATTCCCAGCAATGGCATGGTGGCTCATAAACACCTATAATGAGATCCAATGCCCTCTTTTGGTGTGCAGGCAGAACACTGTATACAAAAACAAATAAAATAAATAAATCTTTAAAAAATTACGCTTGGCTAGAAATATACAGCCAAGCCAGGTGTGATGAAAATTTCCTACAATCCCAGGACTTGAGCAGTAGAGGCAGGTAGAGTAGGAATTCAAGGCCACCCTTGGCTATATATTGAGTTTGAAACTAGCCTGGGCTATGTGAGAATATGTCTCAAAAATACTCAAATAAATAAAACAAAGGCAGGAAATGGGACACATGAAGGGACAAAGGAAATATATAATCAAGTGAAGTTCATCAAACTTCCACCTATTTGCTCAAACTAAACTTCAGTCTCTAAGGCCAGGTTCCTCATTAAATGTGACATGAAAATTACTTAAGTAAATTGGCACCCTTGTCCAGGGCCTCTTGACAGCCAGGCAGTGTGATTCTTAGAGGTGAGACATGAAGGGGCTCTGCCTGCCAGTGTAAGAAAGACCTGTTATAGAGCCAAAGAATGACTGCTTCCTCCTGCCACATGCCTTTTGAGCAATTTAGCTTGCTTTTTCCTATGGAAAAATCACTGGGGTATCTACAATCTATAGAATTATAGATAGCATGGACACTCTATGGTGAGAAACCCTCACTTATAGTATAAATTATAAACTACCCCCTTTTGAGTCAAGCTCCATTCAGGCTTTACAAACCTCAATAGCTAATCTTCTCAATAATCCATCAGCTTTTTTTCTAAGTGAATGGAAACATTCACTCATCCAGCCATTTACTTATTTGATACGTTTATAATGAGTATTGTGCTAGCACCAGGGCTAAGAACAAAACAGTTAATGGAGTCTGGCATGACAATACTATTAGTCCTTAGATGAGAAAAAATAATAAGGTGTGCACAGGGCCTTGAGGAGTTGAGGGGACTGCCTGGAGGATATGACAATACAGCTGAGAACTCCATGTTATGTACAAGTCAGCAAGGCAGACCGGCTGGGAGTTGGAATGGATTGGAATTTAAACAATGCATGCAGGATAGGCTTCAGAGAGAAGATGGTATTGGTGGATATTTGGAGGGGTGAAGAAGTAATTTAGGTACTCAGGAAGACAGAAAGGCTATGTGATGTCTCACTGGAGAGAAAGGACAGGTCTAGAGTCATCCTGAACAGGTAAAACACTAGTGTGGCCAGCATAGAAGAAGCAGAAGAAGAACCACGTACAGGAAGATCGTGGAAGGTCTATCCCTGCTGCTCTGAGTGAGGCTGTCAGAAAGTTTTATCAGTTGTAACACTGTTCTACTTGGCGGTGGCTGCTGAAGACAGAGTCTATGAGAAGTGAAGAAGGGGCAGAAAATATCTTCATTTTCTTTTCTGCAGCAGTGATAAAATACCCTGACAAAAAGCAACGCCTTTAATCCCAGCACTCAGGAGGCAGAGGCAGGCGGATCTCTGTGAGTTCAAGGCTGGGCTGGACCGACAGCCTCCAAAACAATACAGAGAAACCCGGTCTCGTAAAAACCAAAAAAAAAAAAAAAAGCAACTTAAAGGAAAAAGGATCTTCTGGGTTCATAGTTGCAGGTTACAGTCCATGATGTCGGAAGCAGGAGTTGGAAGGAGCTAGTCACATTACATTCATAGTCAGAAGAAAAATTACAAATGCATGCATGCTACTATTCACAACTGGCTGTCTCCTTTTTATCCAGGCCCAGGAGCCTAAGAAATGGTGCTGCCCACCATGGATCTGTCTTTCCACACCGATTACCATGACTAAGATAATATCTCACAGCCATTGTCAGAGACCCTTCTTCCAGGTTATTCTAGATTGTGTCAAGTTGGCATGAAAATCAAAGCAGCACAGAGAATAGTTGACAACTTTCAGACATGCAGCAAAGTGTGTCTGCTCACTCTCTACAGCTATGGGCAGGAACAGTCTTGCAAATGGACCCGATCCATGGGAGCCCAGCATGCCCCAAGGGAAACATGGAGGTCCATCACATACACCTCGTCCCAAAGAAGCATGGCTATCTTTCCAGCTGTTCTGAAGGGACTATGAAACCCAAGAAAGGAGTTTGGACTGACACACCAGGAAAGCAGAGGCATGAAATGCCGGATAGATGCTTCAACAGTTGATGCCACAGTGCTCACATATAGGGGATGGAGGCACCTCCCTAGCGGCCACAGCCAGTCTGCAGACCTTCCCAAAGGCTCAGAAGGCCAGACGCCCAAACCCAGAAAGAAATCCAGAAAAAAAAGAATAGGAGGTATAATGGTAGTCGATGTGTGCCTTGTCAAGGGAATGCTAAATTGGGGCCTAACTAGATCTCTGGATAAAACTAAGGGAAAAAAAAACAAGCATAAATTTGAAATGATAAGCTGCTTTCCACTAACGTGGTTTGGGACTCAGAAATCGAATAATGTTCTGGAAATAATGAGAGCTAGATTTTTATAACCCTCCATTGTGAGTGTTCAAATCTTCACAAGAATGTACCACTGAAAGGAATGCTGAGATGTAGCCTAGGACTAAAGCAAATTAAACTCCACGTTCTTTGTGAATCATCTATACTATATGCACGCTGGAACAGTGAGGACCGAAAATCACAAATGAAAGCTGCTAATGCCCCCAAACCACATTTCATAGGACCTCTCCTCCAGTTCTGCGCTGTTAATGTGAGTCACCACAGCTTGGCTAACCTGGGCTCTGTGCTAAGCAGTGGTACTTATGAAGTCATGATTCAGTGTAGTTGATTTTTGTAGTAAAGTCCTCACCCATGAAAATCATCTATAGCATACCGCCATGTGGGAAATGCCCAATGGGCCACATCTTAAGAAAGGTCTGCATGATATTTGTCAGTGTTGCTATGGTTTCAGTGTGTCTCCCCTATTTTCATGTGTTAGAACCTTAGTTCCTCAGATCTGCAGGGTTAGGGGGTGGAGCTCCGTGCAAAGTGTTTGGGTCAGAGGTGGATTGGATTAGTACCCTTCTGTGCGAGCCAGTGAGCTGTCTTAGAGCTAGACCCTATGGTAAGACAGGGTTTGTTGCTAAGTGAGGCAGTTCCTTGTGTTTTGTTTCTTTCTCATGCACCTTTTGCCCTTCTGCTTTCTACCATGGGGTGGCACAGCATGAATTTGTCACCAGGAGCCAAGTAGATGTTATGGCCCTAGGCTTCCCAAACGTTCCATGCTGTTAATCTATTTAAATGGATAAATCATCCTAACTCAGGTATTCTGTTCTAGCACAAAACAGACTAAGGCAAGAGCTGGAGCTGAGTGTGAAGTGAGGACATTGATCTCCCCAGCTATCATAGAAGTCCTTGCCTGCCTCAGCTCTGCAGCATGCCCTACACACTCATCCAGTCTGTGTTTGAACAGCTCTGTTGACAGAGTCCCACTGCCCAAAAGTGTTAGTCCTGGTTTGGATGGTCCTAGTACTGTGCTGGATGCTGGTTCTTATTCTGGACTGAAAAGGACGTGTGTCAACACAGAAATCAATGGACTGTGAGGGAAGACAATCCATTCACCTCTGGCCACCACTGCAAAACTAGAAAGAGAGAATGCAATCAGCAGTAGAAACAATGAAGAGAAACCAAAAAATCCATACATCTCCTGTCTCCTGTCAGAATAGCTCTCCCCAGAAATAACTCTGTGTTTTCTAATTGACTCATGGGACCTTTGGGGGGGGGGTTTATGGGTCCTCCTTCTACTTTTTTTTTCATTTAAAAAGTAACTTTGTGCTTTCTTCACAGTGAAAAGCTAATTGCAACTTTCCGGCAAGCCATCACTGACTGACTCTGGTTATTTTGGGAAGAAGAACTCCCACAACTTTAAGGAAGGGTGGAAAGGTCACAATCCTGAAAGGAATCCTCAGAAACTTGGAGGACAGACAAGAGGGAGTTCTGTCTGAAGCTGGCTCAGGTAACCTCTGGCCCTTTGATAGGAATGAAAAGGGGTCTAATGATGCCAGAGAGGGGCTCAGTTGGCTTGCAGTGAAAGTCTGGGAAACCCCTGCAGGGTTAGATCCAGCCCCGTGCGTAGATATCTTCCCTGAGCACAAGACAGAACAGAGAGTTGTCACAGTGAAAGGTGATCCAGGTTGGGCAAGACAGAGTAGTGTTGGAGTTCTATGGGAACCCAGCTCTCCCTCAGCAAGGACCAAAGGGCAGCATCCCACACACAAGCCTCTGCAGCTGCCAGAAGACCTCCCCTACAGAGTTCATCCCAGGTGTCAACCACACCCTCTCCTCCTTCTTTCCACTTCCTCTCAGCCCGGCTCTGCATTGACCAGCCTGTTATCCTTAGATAATTTAACTAGACCATATGTTTTCTCATCAATAATAGGGAACAACCATCTTTTTTCCTCAGTAATTCATGTACTTTTCATTTATTTATAAAAAATGTTTTACTTCCAATAATTTAATATGAAGAATTAGCTTAGATGAAGTATGAGAAGTCACTTCCTAAGATACAAAGATCACAAGGGAAATATCTATCAATATAATTTAATTTAAAAATGTATACCCCTTCTGAGTTTCTAGGGAACACTGTGGAAACAAAAAGCTTGACCCTTGAATTCACTGACTTTCTGTATGGGAAGGGAAAGTAAACTGTTGCCCCATTTCAACCCCCAAAGCATGGGGCAGTTTCATTGTACAACAGGGGCTGTTAGGAATCTGCCTGCTGTGGGATTCTATCAGCCTGTAGAACCCCCAATCCTAGAAGCCTGGAGTTGAAGCAACAACGAGTAAGTCCCAGAGTGAAGACAAGGCAGGCTTTCTTGAGGTAGGCACCAGCCTCAGAAGGTGGCATTAACACATTAATGTCAAGTTGGCTATTTTCTTCCTGTTTCATGAGCATCAGTCTGTAAGGAAGGAGAAAAAGAGTAGCTACAAGCTTTGGTTTGGTTGCTAGGAGAGCATCCATGATTACTTTATGTTCCCAACAAATTGGGCAAGGAGAGTGTTTGGGACAGTGGAGAAAGTAATAGCCCATCTCAGCATGTCCAATGGAGGTTTTAGGGCAGAGGATCCCAGTAGAAAGCAGAAGGATGAGTGAATGAGAGAAGGCAGAAAGCAAACACTTGGAGCTCAGATCAAAGCATAACCAATGAAGCATACTATACCAGGCTTGGTCTGTATAACCAAGAGCATTCTGAAATGATGGTGCACTCAAATTCGGCTTCTAAAATAGTCACCTCCATCTTGAGAGTCTCCATTCATTCTCATACATTTTCCTTCCCTTTCTCTCCCACCTCCCTTGCTCAGAGAGAAGCCAGATGCCACATCACAAAACCCTTCAGAAAGTCTACATAGCAGAGAACTGAGGCCTACTGAGAATCGCAAGAGTAAGCTTCTGATAGGATTCTCCAACACTACCAGAGTCTCCAGAGACCCAAAGCCTCAGCTCACAGCCTAGCTACAGTATTGCAAGAGACCTGGAGTCACCACTGCCCACTTACTAGCTACTCCAAGATGCTCTCCTCTCAGAAGTCGTGTGTTAAGTGTGTGTTCCTTTGAGCCACCATGATTTGAAATAACTTGCTATGCAATGCTAGATAACTAAAACACTTGAAATTTCCTATTATTTGACCCAGCTGGTCACCTTTCCACCACTGAACATCTTTTTCATTGGCTTCCACAATACCATGCTCAGTGTTCTGTCTATCTTTGCTGGCTCTTCTACTTCTGCCTAATTCCTTACATTGGAGACCCTGACACTTGGCTTTTGGTCTTTTCTCTTGTCTGGCTATGCTCATTCCTGGTGATGTCATCTCATCTTGTCTATATGTTGTCAACTCCAAATTTCTTTATCTTGGTCCAGATCTTTCTCCCAAACCTCTGAGTCATATAACCAACTGTTCACATGATTTGTTCACTTGGATATCAAACACAAAACTCAAATTCAATATGTTCAAGCAAGAACTCCTAAGTCATCCCACCCAGACCTGTGTCATATTCTGTGTCTAAATCAATCAAGCTGAAGTGATGGCAGCTCCATCCTCCTGTCTATGCAAGACAAGATTCTCCTCACCTTCCTCTTGGACTTCACATCCAATCAGCAGTGAGTCCTACTTAATCTACCTGCAAGAATATAAAAGAGCCAGCCCCATCCTCAGAGCCTTGGAGATGGCACAAAGGGCCACCAACAATAATAATGGCATGTTAACTCTTACAACACGGAGACTCTTTAATACTTTGCATAAATCTATCTTGAATAATCCACTTGACAACACTGTAAAAAAAAGTCCTATAACCCCATTTGCACAAATGACATAAACTCTGGAAAAGAAAGGTTTAGTAATTTTCCTATGGCCCCATGGCAGGTAAATAGTATTAAAGGCAGGATGAACTCAGGCAGCCCTCTCCAAAAGACTGTGCTAAGTGACAAGCACACTTCAGATGAAAACCCTGAAGCATGTAAACAACACCTGCAACTCTGTAAGCTTCAGCATTCCACAAAGAAAATCCATTCATGCTTGCTGGCACTGTCTGGATTGGTAAACAGACCAACATTATAACCCTCAACACAGATTTAAACCCTCACATTTAAATCATCATTTCACAGACTTCATTTTTACACCCTGAGAAACCAGCTCCACACTTTCCACTACATTAGTTACTTATTATTCATTGCTAAACGTAACATTCGAAGTCACCAGCCTTGCAAAAACTTCTCTTGCTGAGCCTTCTCAGCCTGACCCTCCATCCCCAGCCTCTATCACCTTCTTCCCCTTTTTTTCAGTTTCTGTTAATTAAGGGCAGCCTCTTTCTCCAGGATCTCACATTTGCTTCTGCTATCTGTGCTGTTGTCTTATTTCTAATGCACTCTTTTAAAGGCTTTCTTGGTAGCTGAATACACTTGTTTCTACCCGCCTGCTACTTCCTTTTTCTTCTTCTTGATTTTAGTTACTGAGAGCATGATCATCAAGATTGCATAAAGTTCTATTTAATAAGAACCTTAAATAAGTTCAACATTATTTGTTCTTGAGCATAGTAATGGCATCGCTGAGAAATCCAAAGACTTAAGGACATCCTGGTTCAGAGGGGACTGAAAGTTCTGAAGAGATAAACTGTCCATCTTGAGCAAAGTGATGCTCTAACCAAGTATTCAGTCAATTCTAATTAAACCTTTAGAAATTCTGAGAAGATGATAAAGATCCCTGTAGTTTGGATGAAATGAATTATGTTTCGTGGAAAAGATGGTCTGGGTTGTTCTGGAGGAATGGATAGATCATAGGTGATAGAAGCTATGTTTGCAAAGGCATGGGAGCTAAAGTGTTAGTAAAACGTCAAGAAGAGCACTCCAGTTGAAGACACGTGGGAAAAAAGATTGGGTGAGATTGATGTGGACATGGTTTGGGGTATTCCCCCAAGGATTCAAGTGCAGAATTTTGGTTCCCAGAATGGCTATGCTTGGGCGGGACCTAAAGAGTGTAAGGTAATGATGTCATTGGGAACACTGCCTTGGGAAGGAATTAATGTAATTCTTGCAGAACCCTGGTTAGTTCTTTATAGAGGACTATTACAAACTAGCAGGACTGATGTTCCCCACTCTCTGGTGCTTCCCGGATTGTCATGTGAACTCTCCCTTTAGCCGATGCTCTCTCCTTTATACAATCTGCCATGATGTGACATGGCTGAGTTAATGTGGACATGTCTAATTTTGATCATTTGGGTTCCAAATCTGTGAGCTAGATGTACCTCTTTTTGTTTATATACAAACCCAGTGTCTGGCATTTATTATGACAACAGAAAATAAGGCTAGTATAGAACCTGAAAGCTTTTGATAACAGAGCAGAGAGACACTGGGGTTATATTCTAGATGCACCACACTGCTTGTGCATCTGTGACAATCTGCCATTGAACATACTTAAGAAGAATGTTCTGTGCTTATATTTCCAGATTTAATAGGGCCCTAGAAAGGCTTCCTTCATCCACTCAGTCCCTTACCCAACAGAGAAGTCTGTCCCTCCAGTGAGGCTGTGTATGGAGACAGAGAAAGTGGGAGAGAGGAAATGAGGAAGGAAGAGGGGTGAGGGAGGATGGTTGGTTTAGAAATGCTGACCTTGGGCTGTGGTACCGTTGATAGACAAATTTAACAACCTCTGTTCTTTTCAGGAGCCAAGCCTGGCCTGCGTGAAGAGTTCAGTCAGTACCTGAGGATGTACCATAAGCCAGTAGTTGGCTTCACTCCAACTCTCTGTAAGTTCTATCTTCAACCTTTAGCATCTCTTAGATACCTCTGACATCCGACTCCCAGGAAGGTTTGGCCACTGGAGACTGTAGCATGAAGCTGAAATATAGAATGGAGTAAGAAGCCAGAGTACTTTTCACTTTCCCTCTTGGCTATGGTCAGCATTGTACAGCAACAATCTCCTTTGTTATTGTAGCTTCCGTCCCACAGACCCTCTCTGAAGTTCTAGACACCACCACAAGGTAAGACTCTCCTGGTCAAGTAGCTTCTGGGTTCTGGCTCCCAGCTTCACCCAGTGTAGAGACAGTGCTGGCTGCCTGTTCTGGGCAGATTCCTGTATCTTCTATCAACATTAGGCAATCAAAGTATTACATTAGCAGTCCTTGCTTGAAATACCTAAAACCTCATTGATTGGACCTTGACTAATACAGAAAAAGTTTGTTTTACAAGATGACTCTGAAGGCTGGAGAGATGACTCAGCATTTAAGAGCACGTATTGCTCTTGCAGAGAACCCAGGTTTGATTCCTAGCACACACATAGCAGCTCACAAACATTTGTAACTCCAGTTCCAGAGGATATGACCTCCACTACACAAATGTGGTTCACAGACATGCATGCAAGCAAACACCCATCCACATGCATAGAACAGCTATTTTAAAAATGTAGCAATGACTCTGGGCTACTATGAAACTACTGATAGGAGAAGGAACATAAATTTAAACCACCTAGGAGGCTCTTTCAGCAGCCCCAGTGATATGGTTCAATGAATAGGTAGTCAAAAAGATAAAACTAAATTCTGTTTCAGAGGTAGAAGTTAAGCAACTTGATAACACATTAGATGGACTGTAATGAAGAAAAGAATTGGTGATGACACCTCTATATTTTTGATGTGAGCAGCTGGGTAGAAATTTTGAAGTCATGAAAACAAGAGCAGAGGCTGTTTGGGAGTCAATAGCATGTCAATCATCTCCTTCATGAAGCCTCCAGTGGTCCTTCCAGGGGGAAGCAATTTCTCCCTCTTTTGTAACCACAGGACACTAGAAATATGCTGTTTGACTCGTTTCCCTTCCTGGAATGTTCTGGGCTGCAACTCTCGGCATCATGTTAATCTCTGTGACCTGTACAGCACCTAGAGCTCTCAGATGTTGAGCTTTGAGGCAAACACCTGGCATCAGCCACAGAATGGAGCAGAACCATCTCTAGGCAACAGACGTCAAGTTCCAGTCACTGACTATTCAAAACCACAGGGCTTTCAGCAAACACATTGAGTCTTTTTTAACAGTCCTTGATGTCTGCCCCTGACTCATAGATCCAACACTCCTCTGTCTGTGACAGCTGTCCCTGACCTCCACCCTGTGAGTATTTCTCTGCTCAGCCCATGATGCCATCCTCTGTAATCAGAACACAGAGCAATAGATGCACAACCAAACCAATAGTCATCTCCAAACAGCATGGATGGCACATCTATTGCAAGATATCTCCTCCTTGCTAAGCTTTTATTAGAAGCAAAAGAGTTCCCCTCTCCTCTGGTCTCCTCTGCTGAAGATACTCTGATGCTCATTCACCAACAGTGGGAACCTTGGCTCCATCACTGATCATGCCCCACTGAGAAGCATGGAGGAAGGATGATGCCCTTCTACATATCTAACAGTCTACAGAGCATCCCTGACAGGATCCAGAACACCACAGTGAAAGCCACAGTCCCTAAGGGAAGGTCTTGTGAAGTCAAGAAGGAAGGTCCCAGAAACACAGCAAAGGTGTTCTCACCCATCCCCTCCCAAGTCACAGGCAGCCTCACCTGGAGTCACTCCAGCAGCTACAACTTCTCGGTCATCTTCGCTTCCTTCCACGGCCTCTTCCTTTCTGTGTCTAACTCATCAACAGCTCTTCCTTTGCTCTAAGTGCACCCTTCAACCCTGGCCACATGCTTTGCCTCATTTTATACTCTCCCTCAAGCCAGCGCTGGCATCAGCCCCAATGACAATGTTTACTGGGTACCCACCATGGATGAAACACTCATGGAAATAAGAGTCTGGTCTTCCTGGAGCTGACTCTCCAAATGAAGGCATAAGACAGAAAGGAAGACATGCATGCCACACACACACAGACACAGGCCACCATGTAGCACCTCTCTGGAATATACCCTTGCATAAAATTCCACTGTTTCTGCACATGGTGCTCACTCCCCAGGTCTTCAGAAAGCCACTTTCGTTCTCTCTTTCCTTGTAGCCATACCACAGTTCTTCAAGCTCAACCCCTGTGGGTGCCATGTTTGTGAATTCACCCACTCACTAAAATATCTGTAACATCCAAATCAACACTCATGGCTCATCTGCATAGACTCAAGGTAGCACAAAAAGATTGAGTCACTCACTGCCCACACTCATCCCCAGCTGAGGTGAGACAAGGTAGCTGATGTGTCTGCCTGTTTCCAATCTTAGACGGTAAACAAGCTCTTCTCATGGTGTACTTCATGTTCCAGTTTTATGTTACTGTTGGTGATTTTGCTGTATAAAGTAGCCCTGAGCATAGTGTTGAAGTGCTCACTGCCTGGTGTTCTAAGCATAAGAAGGCTGAGGTGTACCTCACAGAGAAAGCACACAGGTAAGCTTCGCTCAGGAGTGAATCAAGTGCTGTTGACTATCAGCTCAGTGCTGATGAATCAGTATTGTATAGTAAATATGATGTGTAAGAGAAATACATATACAACAAGGCTCTATACTGATCTCTTGTTGGAGAGGCTATGAAAGAGATACACAGGGACCTAACCCTGTGTTTCTGCTTTCCTAGGAGCAATAGCACAACACGGGCTAATTCAGCACTTGCAGGTTGCAGGGACCTTACAGTACACAACAACATGGCTAATGAACACCCAGACAGTGAGCACCCATGGTAATTGGCACCCTGTGTGAGAGGCAGGGAGCATCTAGAATGCAGACAGGGCTGGTTTTCTCCCTGTTCTGCTGAGACCACTCCTGGGTTGTGGCTTTTAGTTTTGAGTGCTGCACTCCATGGCGACACGAAAAGCTGGCAGCCAAGAAGGATCTAGGGTACTTAACCTCTAAGAGACCATCACAGGGTTCTGTGTTTCCATCTTGGCAAGGAAAGACACAGGAATCAACAAACCTGAGGGTGCCTACATGGAGGAAAGATGCTCAGGCTGACTTATAAGTCCTCCAAAGGGAAAGTCAGAACCCAGGAGTAAGACAACGAAGGAAAGAGCTCATCTCAGTCCAGAGATATGAGACTCAATGGTGACGGAGGTAGTCAGACATGAAAATGAGGTCCCTGTCGTTTTAGGTGACAATGATCAACAGGTTGTACTGAGGAAACACAAGCACTGAGTAAATATTTGAGAGTCTGGTGTTCTGTGAAAATAACCCCACCCCTAGTGGAATTAAAGACTCTCAGGAGCAAGATCCCTGTCCTATCACAAAAATTACCAAGCCTCCAGTCTCCATGCATTCTGAAACTCAGGGGATGCCATCTGCCCTGGGTACTGTGTCATGAGGTTCTTCCTGCTGAATAAGGAGTTGAACTGTGGGTGGCTGTCTTCTCCCTAGGGACAGAACAGGAGTTCTGAGTCCTGGCTCTGGTGGTTGAAGGGAATATGGGGAAGAGGTAGATCATCCATTACCCCCAATTCAACACAGAGATGTTTCCATGAGAACACATCCTTTTACGACTCAAGTTGAGCTGAAAATATTAGAAAGGGAATCAGTCCTTTTTCTAGTCATTTTAAAACTGTAAACCTTTGTGGGAAAGTGATTTGACTGTCAAGAGAAAATACAGGGATGAAAAGCAAAATTCCTGTCACCATGAAGCACTCAGGGGAACAGCCCCGGTGCACTTTGTGGTGATGACAGGAGCAAAAAGGTGACACTCACCCTCCCACAGAGAATCCCTCCACCTCACCTACTTCCTTCCTGGCACCTAGGCATCTAGAGATATACAAGCAAGAAATTTCAGAAGGGTTCCCAGAGACCATGCTTCCCAACAGCTGCTGCCCCCGTGCCAACACTGAGGTCCTCTCTGTCCTTGGAAAGGGCCAGGGCACAGAGATCTTGTGAGTGGTCCGTTGTGAAAGTTGGTATTTGTCACCTTGAATTTTATACATAAGACCCCAAAGAAAGACAGGAGCTAGCCCATTAAACCTCAGTAGACTGAGGTTCTGCAGTGGAGTATCCAGAGACAAGACCAAAAGCCCAAGAGCAGTCCCCGTTCTGAGGGTAAACACTCACAGAGGAGAAGGGGAACACATATAGAAACTGTCATCAGCCAGCCACTTACCTGAGAAACCCCACAGGTGCCACAGGCCATAGGAGTGCACAAAACCAACAAATTGCAAAGTTCCCATATGGGGATGCTGTGTGTGGAAAACTGACCTGATTCTGCTGGTCTGCACTGCCCACTAAGGTAGTTACTCAACACATGTCTATTTATATTTAAATAAAATGAAATTTACAGCTGAACTCCTCTGTCACATACTCACAATTCAGCTGGGGAGTAAACAGTTCCTGTGGCCAATGAGTAACATGTTAGCAAGAGAATTTCCATCATTGCAAAAAGGTTCAGTGTGCAAATCTGCTGAGTACTCACTCGCGCATCCTTCAAATACTCTATAGTGAACTTCAAATTCACTCTCAAGCTTCAGATTAGGGCTCAGCCCTTGCCTGGATGTCAGGACTCATTTTGGTGTTCTCACCTCACTGGGGAAATATAGAAGATTCACAGAACAAGCTTTTTCCAAGCCCTTGTCACAAACTGTACCCTCCAACAGCTAGCTAAACCCCTTACTGCCTTTGTCAGCTTAACTTCTCACCTGTAGGATTCAGTCAAAATGTCACTTCCTTGGGGCCCTGCTTATCCCCATAGATAAGGGAGGTCTCCTGTTCCTCAGAGAAGTCTGTGGCTTAGCCATCAGAGTGCTTTACTGTTGGTTGCATATTGGAGGTACCTACAGTAATTGCCCACCCCACTGTACTGCTTGTATGGGCCTTTTTATAACGATTTATTAGCTAGAGGAATATATACATGGATAGACGTTTGCATGTATAAATGCATGAACAGATGGCTTGAGATGGGTGGGTGGACTAACGGATACATGTACACACAGATGTGTGAACAGAGAAATAACATGTTGTTATAATTCCTTGCCTTGTTAGTTAACAAAAATTACTTTGTAAATTATAGGAAAGCAAGAACCTCCTTTCCCTAATTTATCATACTACCTGTCTCTTCTCTTTTCAGTATTGTAGGTGATAAACATCATTTGGGAACTATGGGGGGAAAAAGGGAGGAAATGATCTAAGGAAAGAAGGGAAAAGCCA